TGCTTTTTTCATGACTTTGCCAAAAATCGAGACCTCCGGAGAAATAATTTTTTGAAGCTAAAATCAGCAGATTAGGAGAATCTAAAAATACGATTTTGTAGTCCGAAAGTTGTTCTATTTGATCCGTGCTTGATCCTTTCCGGAACTTTGTAACGAAATTTTTAAAAATAAGCCTAACTTTGAGCAGATAAAATTGACACGTGAAGAATTTTGGCTATTATCAAAAGAAGCATACAAGATTTTGGTACGAAAATGTATACACAAGAAAGAGAAGGAAAAGCTGCATCGAATACATGTTGAAACTCACTCAGGTCTTTATGTGGTTTTACAGTAGCTTGAAAAAACCGACAAAACTTTCGGGACAACCTAATATGTAATACTGGCAGGGCCGGACGTAGCCGTGTTTGCTCGCTAGTTCCATATAAATGCAGGATAATACCGCAGCAAAAGACAAACCGATTAGACAAGTCTCTTTACTTAAAACGAGAAAAGAAAAGAGAAAAGAAAGTATTTGCAAGGTCATAGGTTGAGCCTTACAGGCTTTCTCAAAGCACTTTTCGCAAAACGTTTCCAAGGGACAGAACGGCTTCTAGTAAATTCTCAAATTTTGCCTTGACTGCGAGGAGTTTCCGCTCAAAACAAACTCTTCAACTAGTGAAGAAAATAGAGTATTTGCGAAAAACTACTGTCTCGCAGAACTATTGTCGATCTCAACAGGAAATTAATCTAGATGAGAAAGAAGGAAGAAAGGGGTTACCACTAGCCTTCAACAAAGCTCTACAAGGCAAAGAACGCATAAGATTCTTTATTCACATAATTTCATTTCTCTGTATCACAAGTGTTTCTAATTTTGTATTTTTTGCTGGCTATAAGATTGTTAATGTTTCCTAGTAACCGTAAACTTTATTATCATTCCTCAACACTTTGTAGCAAGTAGTTCTTTCCTTGGCTTGGAAATCACTTCTACCCAGTGAAATGTTCTGGTAACAAGTGGTTTCACTCAGCTATTCGATTTTTCTTCTTTTTTTAGCTTCTCCATTGGCATCGCAGTAATTTGAAGTGCTAAATTACTTGACGAGAAAATGGAGTTGTCGATAAAATCCTGAAAACTCCATGCACAGCTTGCACTAGTGTTTCATTTAGAAATCATCATCTCTTCCCTTTTTCTTTGAGTTTTTTCCGATTTTTCTCACATTTTTAACCCCTTCCTTTTTCAAATTTTTGCTCCTCAACTATCGTCGCTCCAATCTTCGACAGCAGTAGCGGCTTTAGGATGTACAAAGTTAATTTGTATGCTTCGCTGCTTCATAATAACACTTCAGAAAAGACACAAAAAACCAGCTATGTATGGGATTTTTGCTGACTTGCACGTAGCCACAACTAGGATTTTCCCCAAGCCAAGTTGAAGTACACTTTGTTTGAATAAAATAGCACTATTGTTATACTAGCTGTGCTAATTGGCTGTGCTGCAGGAGATGAAAATAATGAAAAGAAAATTAAAATCCCGAGGAAAAATTGCTGCGAATATTTCACAGCAAAAACCCATAGCTGAAGCAAATTTGCATGCAAAGCATAGTGTTTTGCATCCGTTTTCACATGTTTTCGATGATGATGTGAGCATCGAAAATGAGCAGAACGCAGAGATGCAATTACGTAAAATATCTATTTTTGTGCGTGGGAAATATTCTAGGCTTCTAAGAATTCTGTAACTTGCAACTTGTGTACTTTCAGCGAAGAGAATTAACGATATTTTGAGATTTTCAAGGCCTTATCAAGTGTAGAAGATTAACATTCTCCACTTTTCAGTCGTATGCACGCTCGATATTATTGTTGAATACAAAGTCATAAGGAGTGCGGCAAATGAAAAGAGCATGCGCACTTATATGCGTCGACAAAGTATTGATTAGGTATAGGTGCAGATATACAGTTGTGTTGGTGGAATCCGCCCAAAATTGCGGGATTTGAGGGATCGCAAGTTGACAAAGGGCTAGTAGTGCTTTTTAATAATGTTATGCGTTTAGCATCACTCGGTGAACTTGTTTTGGAGACTTTGTTTATTTGGTGATTCTTAAATGTCAGTATCTTTTATGTTAGAAAAGTAATGAAAACAATAACAAAATATACAACAAAGAACGTTACGCAATTATGCTGAATTTTTCGCGATCAAAATCATGTGCAAGATCAAGCACCATCGATTACGAATCAAATCACCACTATCCATTTCGTGGATTAATCAGCGTCACTCACCTCCAGCGTTTACATCACCGGTTGCAAAGCCATTTGAAGATAATGCATGTTTATGGGATTACTACTGCCCTACTCAAAGCTTGAAATTAGCTCCATATCTGTTCATATGAGCAACAATACATGTTGATAATCTCATAAAACATGACAATACTATACAATGCCATATGGACTACGGGCATAAGTATGCTAAAAGATCGTCCCATAAAGCTGAAGCCAAATCTTCCCGCAGATTTCATATATAGTTGTTTCAAAGAAGTTATAACTAAATCCCGCAAATCCCGTAATTTTGGCCGGATTTCACTGCTACAACTTTATAATAGGGGAATCGATTGCGATAGAAGTTAAGTTGCCTTTCTTGCAAGAAAAACTGAAACTTTAATTTTTTAAGTTGAATAATATGAAAGAAATCACAGATTTCCTGCAGCTTACTATTTTTTTCACAACCTCAAACTCTTATACGACTAAAATGTGCAAAAATTTCCACCCTTCTCTCCCCTTCCCTTCTCCTCCTCTAACCGATGTGAAGAAATATTCACAAATTTTGAATGTAAAACTTTGATATTAACGGATGGTGGCATTCAAAAACGAAAAAAATTCCAGAAAAGGCAGCATACACTAATATTGTCATATTTCCTTGGTAAAGTGAAAATATGAATTTTGAATTTTTAGGATTTGCTTTGAAAAAATTAGCGAAAATTGTATTGTTGAGCCCACGATTAAGCGCTGTCTTTTCACGGAATGGTGGCAATACAGTAACCCAAAATATCGATTCGTTGCAGATGTAAAGGTTTTTGTGCTGATTTTTGACTTGAGTTTTTGAGTTTTGTTGAGTAGGTGGATTCTATTAGGTCGTTTCAAAAGTAATTTCGCTTTTTTCAAACGAGCGCCACACTTGAAGGAACAAAGGATTCTAAGAGATCTTGGAGGCATTCAAATTTCAGAATTTCATTCTCTTTCTAACGGTTATGAAAATGTTGCAAAACAATCAATGAGCTTTCAGAAAATAACCAAAACTTGCGACCCATGCTTTTTAAGATGGTCAAGTTTCACAATTTTTTAAAACTTTCATATCAATCCTCAGAAGAAATTCAAGTAACGATTCGATAGAGTAAACCTCATAGAATACAGTGCTACTTTTTCCTCTTTCTCATAGCTTGCCGTAATTTTCTAAAAGTTTTTCAATAGAGCCATCGGATTTTGGCAGGCCCACCTCAGCCACAATCACATCAAACATCATAATTTCTCGGAATTTGAGACTACCAAGATGGTACATGAGTTCGCACTAACTTTGCAAAGCAAGTGAGGGTTTACGGGTTCGAAATATGAAATTTCGTGATTTTCAGGTACAGCATGAGGCTCCTTGAAAAAATGAATCATGATGATTTCATCCCCAAAAACTAAAAGAATCGGGAACAAAAACCACCTGTTAGAAAGAGGAGAAGATGCTGCGTCAAATAGTGGCCGAGCTGCTCTTCCTCTGATGTTCTATGAGGACTTAGCTGCCCAAGTATGAAAATCGGTAGCATCAGTTAAAATTCTGTCAAAAATGTATGACAAGCTATGGAAAGGATAAAAAACTAGTCTTGCATTCTATATGGTTTGCTCTATCGAACAGTTACTTGAACTTCTTTTGAGGTTTGATGTGAAAGTTTTAAAAAATTGTGAAACTTGACCATCTTAAAAAGCATGGGTCGCAAGTTTTGGTTATTTTCTGAGAGCTCATTGATTGTTTTGCAGCATTTTCATAACCGTTAGAAAGAGAATGAAATTCTGCATCGAATGCTTCCAAGGTCTCTCAGAAACCTTTGTTCTATCAAATGTTGCCCGTTTGAAAAAAGCGAAATTACTTTTGAAACGACCTAATATAAAACAAAACATTGCGAAAACAGTGTCGAAGCTCTTGAAGTGCTAAAGCAAAATAACCATTAATAGGAAGAAAAGTTTTCAGTTTACAATGTGTAAATAACCGAAAAGCTCCGTTTTGTTCCTGCCCTTGGACGGAATTTAAAGTATTTGCAGAACTTCCCCGGAACTCCACAGTAAGGAAGGAATGTGTGTAAAAACCAAGATCGGCAAGTTTAAAAGTACTCTCCAACTTTTGCCCTGGAAAAAAAGCGCCAACAAGTAACTCATCAAAACTTCCTTATATGAGCTAAAACCCTCATTAAAACCTCCTTAATTGAGCTAAAACCTTCCGGAAGTGCTAAAGACAAAATCATGCGTCATTAGCAGTTAAATCTTCCGCGCAAGAGTACTCAATCAGCACTTGCCATTATTTGTTTAGTGTTATGACTCTCGTAACTCAAGTGTTTTGCACTTTCACGACAGCAATTCACGCTGTTCCTCGAATCTAACATCCCCCATCTCAGATTCACTTTTTCCCCTTGGAGATTAGCTCCTTTCCCCCCCCCCCCGCCTTTATTTTTGAAACCCTGATAATCGCTTTATTTTATACAACAACTTCAGCCACATGGGAGATGATGACGTTTCCCGTCAACGATTATTTACCACTCAGCCTTCAAATAATTACTGTTTATCGTCGAGATCGCCTATCAAATTGTTATCTACTCGCTTCGCCAAAATGTCTGTTTGATGCTCTTCGATCGAAAACTCAGACTCTTCCGAGAAAATCCTAGATTATCACTAATTAGATGATATTCACCGTGATTATGGCCTTCGTCGTCGTGTTTCTGCGTTTGTGAAAGATTTGCTTAATTTTTCATGTTTCAGAGTCATTCACTCATTTATCTCCGATGAGATTAAGAATAGCTGCAGATGATTGGTTTGCGGTTTTATTAGGATTTCAGCTATTTTACAGGTAAAACCTTTTTCCCCAATTTGTCAGTAATTTTTCAAATTCTTCTGTGAATATTTCTAGAATCGGTGCAAGACAGCATTCTCGAAGAGAACACATGTATACGCCTTCAAAAGATACCCGTAAAGAGGTAAGGGTAATTTGCTGTCAGTTCTATTTTTCGCTGAAATCTAGATTTATTGATTTTTCTTGGTGCTTTACCGTCTTTAGAAATTTTTAGTTCTTCTTTTGATGCACTTTCTTTTCCTTTTTTGCGGTAAAGTTCGATCAATAAGCTGTTTCACATGATCAAATTTTATTTAGCTTTTCACAGGCTTTAATTACAGTGGAATTATAGAAGGATACAAATCTTAAAATTAGCGCTGATCGGACAATCGATATTTCGCCTGCCCTTCTGATAGATAAATTTTTTTGTGAGATAGAGAGGCAGAAATGCTCATTTGGGATGTTATAATCTACTTTATGGTGCTAGGCCCTAACTAAATGTACGTCAAGCATCTTTATATCTATTTCTGAGAAAATTTGATGCAATTGGAGGGGCCTGTAGTTTTTTGAGAACAATTGAGCAACTAGAGGGACCTGTACATATTTTTCGTCCAAAGGGAAATAATGGAGATGGGATGAAATCGGTTTTCTAATAGCATAATTGTGGCGGCTCGGTGTGATCAGCACCTTCCCGCAAGTGCTCGCCGCAGCTACACCTAACTCCCTATTGTCCCCTATGATGTCGCGAGTCCGTTAAGGTTCGCGCGCCTTGACGGGCGCTGCCGAGGACTGCCCCTACCCGTATGAACGGCACGATAAATAGCGCGTAACGCTGAGGAAAGAAAGGACCGACTAATTCAGATTACGTTTATCTACATATATACACAACAATAAACACGCAACCCGCACAACACGACTAACAATACTAAAACTACTAAAATACTAAAGCTACTAAAACTACTACTCCAGAATCAGGAAAAGATAGGCACGGGATGAGCCGCCTTGTCCAGTGCTGCCGATGCTCGGTGATCATCATCCCAACGCGTAGTTCCCGGCTCTCCGCTGGGTCAACCGCAAGCCCCTAGCCCTTCCGAGACGGTGTAACCCCTCTCCACTCCCGCTAGTGCACTTCCTACGCAGAAAGAACCATGACGTTTAGCTGCGCGTCTCCAAAACCAAGACGATTACAAAAGCTCAACCGCTCGAAACCGATGATCATCTGCGGGAGCTGCTGGAGGCAAGCACGAACGATATCATAAAACGATCAATACGAACGAAACTCGAAGTGGCGTAGACTGCGGCCTGCGCGCCCTTATATACCCTGTGACTTGGCAACGCGCTCAGCAAGAGGGGTCTTGGCGCGAAATGGGCAGCGCGCCAAGTAATGCGATAGCCAGCGCTCCCGGCCTCCTGTTTCGAGGAATGGCTTGCATCGCGAGCCCCGACAATAACCATACTTTCCAGGCAGTGGCGTACCGAGGGGGGGGGGGGCGGGGGGGGGCGCGCGCCCCCCCCGAGAATGGGTCGCGAAATTTTTTAAAGTTACTTATATGGGTTATAAAAATGTGCAAGTGACTTGTTTATACTTGCAAATAATTAAAATAATTTTTAAAAAATTTTAAAAATTTAAATCAGCCTTATAAAAAATTTTTTTTCGGGGGCGTGGCTGACGCCACGCCCCCTTTTTCTGAAAATTTGGGGTCAGAGGCCCGGAAAAATTTTGGGAACCACTCGAAAAAAATTTTCGGAGGGCGTGGCTGACGCCACGCCCCTTGATTCGAAAAAATTTTTTGTCGCGCCCCCCCCCCCCCCCCCGAGCCGAAATCCTGGGTACGCCACTGTTTCCAGGCCATTTAATGTAATTATTCTTTAATAGCTAACTTATGTGAAAATCATGAAATTTCATTTTTGCTGCAAAACTTGCGGCTCCTTCTGAACAAGGAAAATTCAATGAAATTAAAAAGTATAATGGGTAGAGAACTTCCTCGTAATTCTGCTCCTGGAACTTTCAAACCTGCATGACTAACTTATATACTTTACAAATCACAACAAAAAAGCTTATAGCGATTTCACAACCAACTTACTCAGTATATGCAAGAAAAACTATGTGCCCACTTACGACACGCGAATAAGTCTCAAATACTGAATAAATCATAGAATGAATAATCAGGCGTTCCAGGATTGGAATCAACGTAAGGTTTCAGAACAAAAAATAGTCGGGGATTAGTTTCCATGAGAATGTATTCCACCTAAACGGAAGAAATGTATTGGTGGGAAACCTTACGGGGCCATAAAGTAGGGTAAATCCCAAGACTAGAAATTGCTCGGTTCATAGTACAAATAGTCTTACGCACCGTGGAAAACACGTCATTTTCCAGAATTTTCGATAAAATGTTTTTTTTTGCGATCTACTGAATTAGACATGTCAACTGCAGCCTTTCTATTTTTATTATAACCTGCTCCATAGCCCGTAAAGTATCCGCTATATTTGACGGTCTTCCCCTTTCCTTTCTTGAACATTTTACAAATTTTAAATAAAGCTGTAACTGCTCAATAACTACAATTTTTCCCTCTTATCTTCATAAAGTTGTATAAATCAGCAGAAAAGGAATCAAAAAATCATAACTTCCTTCTCAATGGATTTTCTTAGGTTCATTTTTGTTTGAAGGAGCAAACCTTACTATTTACAGCGTTACCTTAGCCATAAGTTGGCATGAGCAGGTTCGAGAATTGGAAGCAATTGAAGAAAATTACTCAAAATTAGCATTTTTCAAGGATCATAAAAAAATCCTGGAAGTGTTTTCCTTTGGTAGAGAAAATTATGCTCTCTACCACAGTCTCTTTTTCATAAATCAAAACGAGAAAGATCGAGAGTCAAAAAAATAATAAAGAGAATTGCTTCCGTTTTGCAGTTTTTGAGCATGCTCAATTTTTAAAAAGGAAGTTAGAAATTTTTGAAAATCTGATAAACGAACTTTTGGGCCAATCAATAGTGAAATAGTCATATGATATCTTGTGAAAAACAGTGGTAAATAATAGTGAAAATTTTCAACCTTTACCTAATTTTTCAGAGCGACAGCGCTTCCCTGGACGACCTTATATACTCCATAGAGCAGTCCTCTATACCGAGATTATTACCAGCTGTGGCAGAAACGACTACTGAAGAGCCACACGACGATTTGGAGGAAATGGAGGAAGAAGAAAGTCCAAATCTACCCGGGGCTCGGTTGAAAATAATGTGAGTGTTTTTGAAGGTTCAGCTTTGCGTCCTCTCGAGTTTATTTGAATAATTTTGTTTTTTACTGCATAATTTTTGAACTTTTCTTGAAATTTTTTCAGCCCTAATTCAGCTAAAAATCAGGGCTTCTGATTGGCTAGTGTTTGAAAATTCAACAAAGACTCAAAAAACGCTCAAACTAGAGAATGCAAATTTTTCGTCGACGTCGACTTTCCAAGCTCCTCCCCTTCTCAAAGCCCGTGCAAGCCGCTGTGTGAGCGCTGTGCCTAGCTAATCCCCTACTTTGTTTGATATTTCGAATAATTTTTGGATAAGATTTTTATGCGAGTTGTCTTCTTGTAAAACAGTCTAGTAGTATATAGCCGGAGTAATTTGCAGTACAAAAAATTGAAAAATTAATAATCAAAAACTAGCAAATGTAATTAAGCATTACATTGTTTGTTCTCCCTATACTGGTCTTGCTTCTTTAAATAACTGATATTATCTGTATTCTAAAGCATTCTTGCAACTGAATGCATTTTCATGTGCTCGGCTTTTCTCCCATTTCTCCATCAATACGGTTTCGGGAAAATTACTCAAAAGTAAGAAATGTACGAAATAGTAGACAACTTTTCATTCTGGTAACTACATGCAACCTATGATTTTTTTGTATTATTTTCTTTGAACTTTCCTTGCTCCTTTAATCAAGAAGTAAATAACACAAAAGGCTAAAGGTATGAAATTTGAGTGGTCCGACGGGGTAAAAAGAATATGCTGCTCTTCCTAATAGTTTTTAGAAAGTTCTATATTCTGCAACTGTCGGAGAATCATCCGTCCTCTCTGCTCCATCCACTAATTCTGGGGTTCGTACATTTATGCTATCACATCAAGACGACCGATTTTGCCCAAAAAATGACTCTGTAATGGCAGAATTTAAGTTAAAAATGTATGGAAAATGAGCTCAAATCATTTTGTCAAGATTCGCAAAGTTGTATAGCTGTAAAAAATCAGATTCTTATGAGATCTGCTGAGAACCCTTCATTGACTTTCATACAAGACTACACGTTATTCAATAATTTACTTATTTCTTCTCTCTTTTCATAATCCAACAGCTATTTCGATCTCCTCCGCCATTTTCAGTAGCGTCGCATTCTCACAAATATTTCGTTTCAAATGGAAACGTAGCTATTTTGAATGGCCCAATATCCTCTCTCAGAGCCGCAAACGTATCTTGCCGTCATGGATTATATGGTTAACACCGTAATTTTGCATTCCATTCTGGTTAAATTGATCTACTGCGGTCTATTTTACAATAAGCTTTTGCTTTTCATCTCCTAAGCCTATCGTAATCATACCGTACTCCCAGGAATACATTCTCGGACATATGTGGTTTCAGCATGCGAAATTTTTCTTAGCAAAAATTAGTTTGAAATTCGTGATTCACAACTGCTCCTACAATACTCATCTACAGCTACTTTTGTTTTTTTTCCTCGTAAAAAATTACCAACTCACTATTTCATCAATACGTACCAAATTCTAAATTTACATTGTGGTCTACCTCAAACTGATCAAATCAGCTGCTATGAATTTTGGTACTCATCTAATTCTCGTAACATCCTTATTCTTTTCGTTGTAGAAGCTAAACGGGAAAACATCGATTGAATTTGTTGTCATCACTTTGTATATCGAATCACGTTGTTTTCTTATACCTACAATTTATCGGAATGTCTTATGATTTGTAGCAACACTGCAAAAACTTACTTTAGCTAAAACAATGAAGGAAAACACTTAGCTCTCTTATCTCTCGCTTATCGATTAGGCAACCTGCTAAAGGAGGGAGTGTATTTCTTTATTACAATCTTTTTTTCAAATTCATGTTAGAATATGCAATTGCCATCTCTTATGACAATTTGCGCAATTGCACCACTTTTCAGCTTGGCACCGGAGCAACTTCGTGGTCTTGCAATCACTTTTAGGGGTGAAGAAGCACGGAAAACAGCAAAAGCAGCGTCCACCCAAAATTTCTCCTCCACCCCCCCCCCCCTCCCCCAAAAAACCTGGGAAGCCTATCCTAAGGCTTAGAGAAATTCAGTCCTTGGATGGGCGGACCTTGATAGGGTGGGCGCGGCTTGATGGCACCTAGCGCAGGTTTTAGGCCAATTTTCTCCCTTCAATAGCCACATTGGAGGACAGCACCAACACATATGCCCATTTTCTGGGACAGGCTTTTAGGCTAGGTAGTAATCTGGGTAGCATATATTTTGAATGTCGGCCAATGAAGTATCCAGAATCTCCGCTCGAGAGGAGAGGCCAAGAATAATTTTTCTATTAGCATTCCGCATGTTTTTTGAGAAGTTTTACAAGAATTTAAGGTCCATGACCCAGAAATTTCAGAAAAAAGGGGCGTTGCGGCAATCATACTCCAAAAAATTTGTTTGCAAATCTGATTTGAGTTTTTAAAAATTTTGACTATTATTTTAATCATTTACAAGTGTAAACAAATTACTTGCACATTTTCATGATTCATTTGAGTGATTTTCAAAATTTTTTTGGAAAGGGGGGTATTTCGGTTTCGCCAGACTCAAAAAAAGTGTTGCGCACAGGAGAAAACTGAGAATGTCTAGATTACGCCTCTAGGGGAAGAACCCCCTTCCCTCCCCCCCCCCCCCCCCTCCACCCATTTCCCTATTCTTTAACGCCGTTTCACCTATATCTTTGAAAGGCAGTCATAGGATATGAGAGGATCGAATTTTTTGACGGCATGTCATGAGAGCCTTTTCCTGCGGCATCGATACTCGTGTCAATAACCTGCATTAGCGCATTTTGAAAAAAATTCTATGGAAGAAAACCTCGTCTGGTAAATATTGAGAAAAAATAAATACGAGTTTCTAAACCCATGGATGAATTTTTGGACATTTTTCTCATTTTCAGTATTGTTCACTCCTCTACATGAGAATGCTAGTAAGCAGTCTTTGGCTAAAATCCAAAAAACGAGTCTTTGGCTAAAATCCAAAAAAAGAGTCTCTAGCCAAAATTCATTCTACCATGCTAGCTACACATTTTCGCGTCTTTGTGAGAGCTTACTGTAGTAAAAAATATCAAATTTGGCTTTTGAGGCTAGTAAAAGACATATACAACTTATATATCATTGATCACTCCAATTTGTGGCAGCTGTCTGATAGCTCATCAACAGCATACTGTGGAAGCGTTGCAATTGGTCAACATGGGTCCCAAGACGATACGTCTTAGTGGGCGTGGCCTCAGCTTCATTGTATGTCGGCTTTTTGTAACTTCGATGCCCTCCCATCTTTACTCATCACCAAATTACAATTTTGATTTATCTCGGTTATGCGCTAATTGTTCTATTTTTCTACTTCTATATCTATACTTTCCATAATGCAACTGCCATACTTGATTCGCATGATCCGCTTGATCCGCTTCATGCAAAGTGCGCGCACTAAGCAGTTTGTCATTTGGCGCCGCGTAGGAAAAAGGAATTTTGTATGGTTACGGCAAGTAACTGTACGCGACGCCAAATGACAAAACAGTGACGCGCGTTTTGCACGAAGCGGATCAAGCGGATCAAGAGGATCAAGTGTGGCGGATGCCTAAAGTGTAAGTTGATAATTAGAAAATTGAAAGTAAGATCAAAAATCAAACTTCGCGTTCTTGTCATCTCTTCACTCGCAATAATAATGAGTTGATGAGTTTCCTCGAATTATTTAACTACTGAATCAGAATCCAAGCCGGTCAAAGCCCGTTCATTGAAAAAAGGCAAAGAATAATCTGAGACTTTCTATGCATTTTTCTTTTTTCAGCATCTATTGACTTTTTGTCCATATCGCCCTAATTTATTGCTTACCCTTCTTGTTTTGACGGAACCTTTCAGACAAAAGCTATTAGTTTCCACCAAACGTTGAATATTTCATCAAAACGTGTGACCCACAGCCCCTTCTGTCAATATTATGCACTGACATCATGTGGAAATAACTGCCATTACCATCTAGCACAATTTTTTTTACCAATTTTTCCCACTGCTCTAGGCTCTTCCATTTTTTGAAAAAAATGAGAGCCGTCTGAGAAATGTATCCCTGGCAGAGTTCTCATCTTTGATGGCGTAGGCGAATGTGCCTCTCACTAATTTATGCATTTCTCAGTTTTTTCATTTGGTCGATGCAAATTTGATGAGGGTAACTGCCAGACTACCCTCATAGGTAGAGAATCCATAACAGCACTACGTATAATCTCCTTTTTTATAGCAATTTATGAAAAGCGCAAAATGGCCTAAGAAGGCGGGGCAAAATAAAAAGGGGCGTGTCTGGGAGAATAGTGTAATATTGCCAAAAGCAAATAAGTTTTTCCCCTTACTATTTAATCTCCTTTTGTAGCAATGATATTGAGAAGTGAGACATGGCCTAAGAGAGACGGAGCAAGCCAGATAAGGGCGTGGAAGGCAAACGGGTAAAAAATTTTTTGAATAACTCTTCTTTTATGCGGTATTTTTTGAGAACTCTTATTTTTCGACCTTTTGCTGTTAAATATAAGTAGCTCGTAACTTCATATCGGTTTTCGTATTTGCTTTGAAATTTTTTTTTGAAATAAAAATCCGCGAAATGTAAATCTTAACTACGATGATTTTCTATTCAAATCTCATGAATGAGAATATCTCATGAAGAATATCCTGCTCAAAAATCATTTTTAAATAATTCACAAAAACGATTTACAAACTGGAAAATTCTTTGCAAACTGCTCCATCTGAATTCTTATTTCTTCGCAAAAATCAGTGAGACATAAAAAAAAATTAGGCAAGTAGGGATGAGATTAGCATATTGCAACTTCTCCAATTCTGGTGTTTGTCAAAGATTCCGGTTTCAGCTTTGCGTAATATTCGGAAGCAAAAGTACACCGTTGGTACGCATAGTGGAAACGGGGGACTTTGTGAAAGCTTTATTACGTCAAGTTCATGTCATTCTTTTGATTTTTTTCTGAACCGCCATAATTTTACACGGACTCAAAATAATGGTA